AATTGCGACTTCATTATAGCTTGTTATATACATATAACACTTGCATAACAGTTGCATATAGCTTATAACACATGTATATCAGAAGTCATCTTCAGCTATTTAATATTTATAATACTTATCTATATTGCACAATAAGTATTGAAACTTTTTCAAACCGCCCTCGCACAGCTCTTTCATAACTTTTACAATTACATTTTTCAATAACTTTTGCAATGCTTACGCTTAGCTGCAAGGCTAAGCATCTTAAAAAATATATATATATTTACATATATATATTACATACATACATATCAAAATAGTTTAAAATCAAATCAAAACAAAATTTCATTCATTTTCAACACGTTTCAATTGGTTTTATTTATAAAGACGAAAAAAATAAACGCAACTCATTTAGAAAATGTGCTGAAGACAAAGCGTGGCTCTACGCTTGGCTGACTCGACACCGAAGCAGAGGAAGCCAAAGATAGAAGATAGAAGATACGAGGCAGAAGAGGAACAGAAAGAGGAGCATATTTATACTAATGTAACTGTGAAGAATAACACGGCCAGAGAAGATTTCACTTTTCGGCAATCATAACTGACCTTAATCAAAGTGATTTATGTTGGCAATGCTAGAGATACGCTAATGTATCTGTGGAAAGTATCTAAATATTCATATATAGATGATCTGTGAAATGTTCGCAAATAAGTATGGAATTTATAGAAATATACCTATGATATTTATCATAGAAATATACGTGTGAAATGTATCTATATCTATGCGGGTAGAGGTATACATAAATGTAGTTATGGAATATATCTAGATACAATCCATGTATCTCTTCAATATTTCAACAACATAATTTATAACAAATACATTAATTGAACTCTGAAAAGCTAGATACATAGATGATCATAGATATGTATCTGTCTAAATATCTATCTATATAAATACACGTACAAGAATAGATACAGATATGTATCTGTTAAATGTATCTATAACTATGCAGAAATGAAGTAAGATCTTTATCTTACTTATTTATGTGGAATGCTTTTGTTTTTATGAAGAAATAAGATAGGATACCTAAATATATCTGAGGAATGTATCTATAGTTAAGTGAGATTAGATACACAGATGTATCTTCTGAATGTATCTTGAGCTATGCATATGGCATATATATGTACATACGAATAGATGTATATGCATTCATAAATGTATCTGCGAGATACATCTGTCACAAGTATCTACAACTATGCAGCAGTCTGACTATACGTATATTTGTATCTTTTGGCTCTGCAGCAACTAGAGAATGCGTAGCTGGTTGAGTTCATTCTATTTCTTTTATTTACGATTATTGTTGAGCAAACACGTTTGCTGCAAAGGCAGACAAAAACTTCTCATGCCGCAAGTGAAGCTGAGGCTGCAGCCGACTCGCAATCGCAGTCAGTGTCTCAGTATCTGTATCTTCAAGATGCGACCTGAAAATTTCATTCATATGCAATAAACTGAGAGAATCCGGGACCGGCTGGAGCGGGGGCACCGCGCACTGTCAGCTACACAGCGCGTTTCCTGTCTGGGCAACATCATGAGATATCATGTGCCCCATACACAATGCAGCAGCACCAGCAGCAGCGGCAGCAGCTGTTGCAACAACAACAAAGCCGCAAAGTGGCCCGCAGGTGAGGTAACTTATACGCCGCCTGCAGATAATTAGCTTAGCGCTCACATAGCTGCCCCGCAGTACCTGCCTCACAGTGCCCCCCTGTGCCCCGCCCTCTCCGCAGACCCAGCTCCATCTCCCTTTCCATCTCCATCTGAATCACGGTTCCAGTTTCGGTCGGTGTCTCAGGGTCCGCAATCGCAGTGTGTGGGTCTCAGCTCTTGTTGTCATCATCATTAAATGCCGAGACAGTCTGTATCTCTGGCTGTAGCCGCAGCCGTAGATGTATCTTTTCTTTTTGCTGTTTTTATTTGATTTTTTTTGTATCTTTTATTTTCTTTGCTTTTTTTGATTTTTTTTAGAGGGTATTAAAATGTGATCATGCCATGTGTTGCACGCTAAGCAGATGTTGTTGCCATTTATATGTATATATATTCTGAGTCAAGATCTGAAGCTGGCTAAGCACAGAGATATTACTCTTTTTCTTAAATAATTTAATTTTTATTTAGTTTTTATTATTCATTATTTTA